AACGGGGTAAATCAAAACTTCGTTTTTTGCAATGTAGAATGTAGAATGTAGAATGTTTAGGAGGGGAGATAATCACCGCGACCTTATAGATCTATTGTGTGCTCCCCTTTCTTGAGTTATAACGAGTTATAACTCATCATACAGTCTCAGGGCTTTAAGAAAAGCCAGTATCTGAGGCGGCTCCACAGAGGCCAGCTCTCCATCCTCGACATCAGACGTACCAAGGTTCATGGCACGAATGGTCGTCGTCTCGGCGCACTCAGTGATAAGGTGTTCTGGTGTTTCCCCATTTTCCCCACAAAATCTGCATTCGCCGCTGTTTCTCAGTTTCAGCCTACTGAGGTGTTCGTTGAGGAGACAGTGTCCTGTTAGAAACCCCGTGACAATCCGAAGATTGTTTTTACTTAAATCAAGGAAAACCTTTGATTTTTCTCGGTCGTGTCTTAGACCGTTGGAAGACACCCATTCCAAGTTACGGATGGAGTAGATTCTTCAGTTCCGCTTTCAGTTGGTTCCCGTTTGGAAAACAGAACGGTTCTGGTCTAGTTAGTGGAGTGTTCGCTCCTTTCATTGCCTTCTATCCCTTGGTGAGCAGGCACCCAGAGTAGGAGGACTTTATTTTCTTTGCCTAATTTGTTGAGCTTCTCCAGGCATTCTTTGACCAACTTCGAATTGATGGTTACTGAGTTGATCGCGTTAAGTGCTGCTTGACTATCGGATAGGATGGCAATTTCCTGTTTTCGATAGTTCCTATCTAAGATAAATTGTACGCATCTTTCGATAGCGCAAATTTCTGCCTGAAGGATACTGGGGTAGGTGCCCATTGGTTCGTAGTATTCAGTTTTCGGCCCAAATACTCCTATCCCTGTCCCTGCTTTGGTTTTGGAACCATCAGTATACCACATGATGGTATGGTCTTTTATATGCTGAGTAAGCGTCTCTTCCAATCCTTTTTTTTTGCAATAAATTCTAACACCCTGTGGAAAAAATGCGACGGGCATTTTGGACAAAAAAAAATTCCTGTAATCTTACATGTATTCCTAATATTTCATTTTTTGAATTAACTTCTTATCTCTATTCTTTTATGAGTTTTAAATAACGTACTGATATTTTTACAATCTTGAATTTGTTGAAAATGGAGCTCTCAATACCCACCGTTATATTATGAGGATGTCCTCCAAGAAGTTGTCGTTCCATTTGTTCCTTTCATTTGAAATCAGTTTATACTGATGCATGATAATGTCAGGCCCCACGTTTGCCGGGGTAACGAGTTCGGAGTACGAGTAGTTAACGAGTACCTGGATGAGATTGGACTACGAAGATTGGAATGGCCTCCTGGTAGTCTCGACCTCAATCCAATCGAACATTTGTGCGATGAGGTTAAAAGAGCTGTTACAAGAGCTATGGGCTATGGCTAGCGTTAACGGAGATTCCTCCGTTAATGCTAGCCTTAATTGTGAAGGGTTTTCTTGATCTATAGCTCAATATTAATCAAACGTTACAAAATAAAAAGTTAAATTTTTAGGGTGGCAGAATTTTGTGCCGGAGAGTATATCATTTTAGAATTAAGTCCTTGTTATTCCTGTGCCACTGTCTGTTTCTGCTTTTTCCTGATCCAGAAAAAAATAATTATCCCTTTAAGTATAAACATGTCACTAAGGAACACCCTGTTATATCTACCACAGAGTAGATAGTCCTTCCCAAAAAGATCGTGGACCCAAAAAAAATATTTAAAAAAATACAGGAGCAGGTGAACACATAATTAAGAGTCCTTTTCTTCCAAAGACAAAATTAACCACCAAACAAAAAACGAAAAAAAAAAGAGCTAAAAGAAGAAAATCTACCACAAGTCGAGTGGTCAAAATAATTAAAAAATATCTCATTTCTGGGCAATATTAAAACCCCCGACGCCGATACTCACATGGCCTTCTTTGTCGGCTGAAAAACAAACGATCCACTGCCAATTATCGCCAATGGAGTTGGCAAAAATAGTACAAAACTTATTAATGATCCTTCTGGCCGACAAAAGTACCGTCGCGCCACCTGTGGTGTTGACCTGTCAACTCAGCACCATAAATCAAAATAAATGTTAAGATTCGAGGGTTCCAAGCTGAAGAACAGAAGCTACATATATATGCTATATTAATTAATCAGTATAAGGTAGAATTACTTAAGAGTATGAACTATATATTTATTAAATCAGTCCAAAAATTTTTATGGAGTGAGTTTGTTTTTAAGTCGTATAGACAAAGATGAAATTAGGTAGATGTTAAACGAGGCAATCTATATCTATTAAAACCTTAGATCATAATATCACAGTTTAAGGAATATAAATATATACAGTTGGCCCACTCTAAGGAATTCTATTGTTATTTTGACTTCAAAGGCGGCCCGTGACCCTTCGAGGTGACAAAAAATTTGTACGTTTACCGGGTACAGCGGAAGTGCTATTTTATCAGTCAGAACGCTGGCCGTATACGAGGGATCAACTAAAAATACTAAGGAATTTTAATATAGCAAGTAGAAAAATAAAAATACAGTACTAGTTTTATTGATTGACAGTTTTAGGCGTCTTAAATAATTGATCAATACTTTCTTCTTATTATTATTTAATAACATATCTCATAAACCGCAAATTCTAATACCGTTATGATATTGTTCTGGTGTATAATTTTCATATCTGTGGGATCCTATAAATCCTAAGGCACTTTTCCAGGCTCCACACCTACAAGTTATTTTCCTTATCAGACTCTACTTATACATGTTATGGTGAATACATTAATATTAAAGTATTAGATATATTATTCTATCCTAATTCTTTGGAATATGGAATTGTCAATAGGGGAATTATTATTAATAATTATTATGGAAATCCCATATGAAAAATGTATTCTAAATAAATATAATATGTTAATTTTTTTAATATATATAATAATATATTTGCATATTTCTTAAATTATAGCATGTTTTGCTTTATAGATGTTTGCTTTTTACTTTAATTACCTACCTGGAAAGCGCAGATTTTATCGTAAGGTAATAAAAGTACCTTCGCATAGAACTTGTGTTGCCATTGTCAATTTTTTTGGATTTTTTTCTAAATTTTATGATTATCATGAACAGTAATTATGACTGTTAGTAGTTAATTGTGTAATAAATTTTAATGTTTGATAAAATTTACTAAAAACTGAAAAAAAAATTGACAATGGCAAGACAAGTTGTATCCAAGTACTTTTTATTACCTTTTGATAAAAACGTAGATGCTTCAAGTTAAATGCAAACAGCTAAAAAGCAAAACAAAAGTAAAGATTACAACCTAATCGAACAAAACAACTAAAACATTATTTTTGGTTCACCCTATGCGTCGGACCGAAAACAAAACTAAAATAAACTTTTCTACTAATCGAAAATTACTACCGCTAATTTTAACGTTCTTGTTTGCTGACATTAAAATTTGAGGAACAAACTGATTTATTCCACTAATTTCGAGGTTCTGAATGAAGCTCACGGTAAATTGTACTCAAAAGAATAAGAATTATGTTGATTGTGTAAAGCTTTACGGCCGCCGATGCAACGTAGCACGCGGTACCACCCACCGGTACATCCTTCAAGCGATTAGTGGTTCTGGTCGGGTTCACTTCGGGGTACAGCCGGTACGACATCGGTCGACTATGAAGGATAGACAAACACAATGGTGCATTGTTTGACTGTACTAACCGCTCGCGTGCTGCATCGCCGGACAAAATGGCGGCCGTACTAATCGCGCCGTAACAAAATGGCGTAATCGTATACGGGGTGGCCTAGAAACATCGATACACCATGCGAGGCCTGGAAGGATAAACGGAAAACATTGACAAGAGAGAGACAGTAGAAAATAATGTAGAGAGAATTTTCTTCCAGAAGTGTCTTAGAGAGTTGAAGAATTTCCATTCCAGGTTAGAAAGCAGAACTGTTCTGGTCCAGTTAGTGGAGTGTTCTGTACGAGCTCTTTTTCTAGCTAGATCTTTTGCTTTTTGGTTACCTTGGGGATATTTAAAAAAAACATGTGCGCCACTGACTTTTTTCTTTTGGTATCAAAATTGTGTAGGCCGTTTAATGCCAATTAAAAGATATCTCTTGATATTTTACCCAATTCGGCGTCCTGGATGAAATAAACGCAATTTTATTAATCAAAATTAATAAAATTAAAATAAAAATAAAATTAATAAATGATATATTTTACCTAATTTATTATTAAATATTATTACTGTTAGTTATTATTACTATTAGTCCAACATACAGCAATTTGAAGTAAAAAATAATAGTATTTAAGATAATTACAAAAAAACTAATTTTAAAAAGTTTTAACATCCTGTAACTCTAAAAGTATGCATTTCCATATCCATGTTTATAGGAACTTTTTTCACATTTTTTGATTAGGAATCAACGAGTACTAATTTAAAACTTTTGCAAGTTAATAATAATTTTTTTCATCATCATCAAGGAAGCCGAAATAGACAAAATATTAAGAGACAACTCTTTTAATCGGTATTAAACGGCTTATACTAATACTTCGCTAACAAGAGAAAAAAGTCAGTGGCGTACATGTTTTTTTTAGAAAAATATTCCAGAAACAACCCATATGCATGTCCTGGTAAATATGTGGACACTTTTTTAGCGTTAAAATATGTCGCATTTATAGTAACTTTTACCCTCAAAATTTCATTCGAATCGCTAAAAGTAGGTAGATACTTGGAAAAAAATTATAATAAATCGAAAGCGTATTAAGACTTTAACACCCTGTAGCTACGAAACAAAGCAGAATCGGACATATGTTGATATGAAAAATAAATCTTATTTTTACGTGAGGAATCTATCCACGAGAGATGGCACATATTTCTTGAAACACCCTGTATATTAGTCAAAGGAAAGCTCTTTCTATCAAGAAGGTAGTGGTGTAATCAGATTTAACATATCACTATTATTTTATTTATAAGAACACGCTGTTATTATTGAATTTCTAGAACCGACAGATAATGAAGGAACGTCTGACTGCGAAAGTGAACCTGGTATTCCCTTAAAAAGGAAACAGCGAAGATCACGGACCACATTCACTGCCCACCAGCTGGACGAACTAGAAAAAGCCTTCGAAAGAACCCAATATCCTGACATCTACACCAGGGAGGAACTGGCTCAAAGGACCAAGCTGACAGAAGCCAGGATTCAGGTTAGTCCAGTCAAAAATCAAGAAATTATCTAACAATTTAATCTAACTAACTAAAATATCTTCTATATTATGCCCTTGAAGATGCCAAAAAATTCTAGAATTTTTGTTGAAGTAAGGGTAGTTTTCAAGTCTTTATTTTGTGAAAGTTAAATTTTTGAAAAGTCAGTCATAAAATATCTCAAAGTATATGTGTTTAATTTTTTTAAAAATGGATGCCCCCTAACAGACAAACGAAGGACTTTTGTACAGAGGCAAATTGTATTCAACTGACTTATTTCGATTCCAAAAAAAACACTTTGTATACATAGTTCTATACAGGGTGTCCCAGAAATAAGTGCAAGTATTTTAACGGGTGGTAGACAAGAACGGTAAACTAATAGGATTGCTCATCGCGACAGTTGTGACGTCATTGTAGTCCTTGTCATGATAGTGTGTATTATTAGTTGCCTATGGTTAACTAATAAAAATAACAGCTGAGAAATTTTGAGTTAATTATTTTGTCAATTTTAAATGTGAAAAAGGTGTTTTTAAAGTTTTTAGAGCTATAGAGTGTATAAAATACGTTCATTTTGTGTTGTGGATTGTGACAAAGTGCTTACTAAGTGCCTACGATATTGTTTATTAATTATTTTAAAGAAATATGGAATTACTCTAAAAAGAATGCCTGCAAAAGGTGATGCTGGGAACTGCTGTTCTTAAAAATGCATTATCCGAGTATTTAATACGATTTATACAGTTAATTTTCTATACTGCATACATATAAGGTGTTTAAATAAATAAACTAAATAATGAACGTTTTGCATCCGGCAAATGCACGTGTGTATTATTGGTTGCCGGATAAGGACTAATAACCATGACAAGGACTACAATGACGTCACAAAGCGAGGAGTTTTCGCACCTGGCAGACACTTTTGGCTGAATGAGCATTCCTATTAGGTTAACTGTTCTTGGGTGGTAGAGCTCGATAAAAGAAACGTATTTTCTCTTTTTACCGTTTTTCAAATAAGTCCAAAATAACGGAGTTATTTTACCTTGAAAATTTCCAAAAAAAAATATTTTTTGCTAAAATTTTGAGAACCACTCTGGATCTTTTCTGGATTTTCTTTCTTGTAAATTGAATCTACTACTTATGTTGCCATATTATCAAGAAATTATGTTTTTTTACTAAAAACTAAAAAATTTCCAAAAAATTTTTCAACAAATTCCGAATTTGCAAAAAAAATTTTTCGCGAAAAAAACCTCATATAGGCGTGTTTCTGGGGTTGAACTAAACTACCATATAAAATACTTGCACTTATTTCTGAGACACCCTGTATATCCAAGGCATACCCAGTCGCACAATTTTTGAAATTTTCGATTATTTATCTTCAGGTTTGGTTTAGCAACCGAAGAGCAAGACTCCGAAAGCAATTGGCCAGCACCAGCTCGTCGTACAACCCCATAGGCGTGGCCTATTCGTCCCCTACGACCCCTTACGGACAGGGGATGACGTCATCTAGCGAGGGTGGATTCAATTCGCCCGCCAATCAAAGTAAGTGCGAGAAAATTGTTATCGAAAGATCTAGAAACTTCCTGTTTTGTAATAGTACTGTCGAGAGTTCTATGAATACTAATCGTATCCGTTTCATTTATAATAGTATAGAAAAAGCTTTAATATACCGTATGATCGAAAAAAAAAACGTCTTCAGAGATGGCTATGACATGAAGATCGCTGTCATTTTATATGGGAAATGTCATCGATCGTCATTTCCTAGTCAACTGGACGCCGCTTTTTTTTCGATCATACAATATCTTTAATATTATAGATATTAATCGCAAATTTTGTACAAAGTATATATAAGTATAAAGCTTCGTTCAGAACCTCGCAATTAGTGGAATAAATTAGTGGTTTCAATTACACTTTATACTTTTTGGTTTACGATTATTCACAATGTTTAAAAAATACAATTAAAATTAATACAATATCCTAGCAACAGCTTGAGTTAGTCAGTTGTATCACAGTTGTATCCATAGAGAAAACCTAATATTTAGCTTATAAAACAATCAACTACATAATTTCTCTTAACGAAAGATAATCAAAGGCCAAAATGAAATTTCTCGCAAATTTTGAAGTATAATTAGTGGAAAAGTTAAAAGTTTGACAACTTTTTAACTAATTGAAAGTGTCTACCACTAATTTTGACGTTCTGAATGCTTACATTGAAATTAAAGGAACAAACTTCTACCTTAATGAAAACCACTAATTTCAAGATTCTGAATGAAGCGTAATAAGTGGCAAAAGTTAAAATTTTGTTAACTTTCTATTAATTGAAAATTACTACCACTAATTTTAACTTGTTCTGAATGCTTACATTGAAATTAAAGGAACAAACTTCTACCCTAATGAAAACCACTAATTTCTTCCACTAATTTCGAGGTTCTAAATGAAGCTTAATTAGTGGCAGAACTTAAAATTTTGTTAATTTTCTATTAATTAAAAATTACTACCACTAATTTTGACTGGTTCTGAATGCTTACATTGAAATTAAAGGAACAAACTTCTAGCCTAATGAAAACCACTAATTTCGAGGTTCTGAGTGAAGCTTAATTAGTGGTAAAAATTAAAATTTCGTTAACTTCCTACTATTTGAAAATTATTAACCACTAATTTTGACTTGTTCTGAATGCTTACACTGAAATTAGAGGAACAAACTTCTACCCTAATAAAAATCACTAATTTCTTCCACTAATTTCGAGGTTCTGAATGAAGAGCTCTAAAGCTCCAAACACCCCTTAGTAATAACCATATCTTATTTTTAGTGACGGACTTATATACGCCAGCACACGCTCACAGCACCTCCCCCAATCTACCCCTCGGCGAGGTAAAGTGGGAACACCCCCTACCGCACAACCCCTTCCCCTCTCATCCCATGTACCCCCCTAACCCCGCCAACCTGATGCCTATCTCGCCGATCAACCAAACTGGTCACAACATGACACCCCCCACTTCCATGACGCACGTGACTTCCTCTTCGTCGCCTAATATGACGTCGAATAATAATGATATGGCCTGCGGCACTGGAGTCAACTTGGCTACGTCCAACGCCAATAATAACGGAATGGCGGCTAGTTCGGTAGGAAGCAACAACATGCAAGCTAGTAATAATGCGAATAATATGGCCTCTGGTGAAAATGGTACCACCACGCTGCAGAATTTGGATCAAAACGGGAGTACTTTGGATGGGAATGAAAATAATATACATCACGGAGTAACAGGAAGTCCAGGAGCGGGACATGGATATGGAAATATGCCTCCTACGCCTACCAGTATTGTTACGATGTTGGGACCAAACAGTGGTGAGTAATAATTAAATTTATTTATTATTAAAACTCAGTTAGCTACCGCGTTTTTTAACTGAGTTTACAATAATTCTTCTCCATTGCATTCTACTGTACGATTCTTTTTAGTGAAACACGGTTCAATTTCAAATCACACGATTCAATTTCTCATATTGAATCGACTCCTACGATTCGTTCATTTGACGAATCCACACGTACGATTTACGTTTCATAAAATCAAGAATCGTAACTGGCACTACCGACGATAATTTGGCTGGACAATAAAATTACTTAAGAGACCAGAAAAAGAAATATACCTACAGTTCTTTCATTTGTTTTTCAACACTTTATGACACTAGCGTAATTGTATGGATTATTTTACAAATAATATTAAATTATCAATCCAATTCATAATATTTACTATTTATTAAAGACTTCTTAATACCAATTTAATATTTTTTAGAACCATATTTTAATTCCGATGTAATACTCATATAATAAATAGTATATAATACCGGAGGATCGAAAAAAAAGGTATCCATTTAGCTTGGAAATGAACATCGATGACATTGTCCATATAATTTTACATATAAAATTACAGCGATTTTCATTTTATAACCATCGCTGAAGCCGTTTTTTTATCATATTGAGTAGAGGCCAACAATATTTATTTGGAGTTGCATATATAAATATTGTTTCCCTATATTTTCTTTAAATTTCGATTCATAAATATTTTCTATAAATTTCAATATCTTTCTAGATTTGAACATGCAATTTTCCCACTATTTTTCATTGAAAACATACTAAATTAGAATAATAGGCAATTTCATGCAGTAACAACCTCGAAATCTAAGAAAATCCGTAGTTCCTATTCTCAAGTCAACTTAATTGAATTCAACGAAGCAAAATGACGGCGTTTTTCTTTCTATGCGAGAAACAAATAAAATCTTAGAGAAATTGAAGGAAAAAACTAACTTTTTTTAATTAAAACTATACACGTAACATGTGTTCAAGAAGAAAAAAAATGCAAATCATTTTCAAATTAAACCGGACAAAAATACCTATTGTAAATAAAAGAAAATTAAATATACCTAACTAACAAATAAATAAATACAAATTAAATAAAAGAGAAAATAAAGTTTATAATTGACATTTACGAAAAAAAAATTATAGATATTTGGATTTCTTATTGTTTTCACTTGATACGAAAAACAAAACGGTGTCACAGTAACCTTATTACAATCAATTATATATAAGACTTTCAAAAATGTACTGAAATTTACTATCTAAAAGGTGTAGAATAAGAAAATATAGTATAGGCCATTGTAGGGAAAGTTTTTAACCATTATCAAAAATACTTCAAAAACAAGGATTCAAAAAAAAATTTCTTACCAAATCAAGGTAACTAAGCCTTCAAGGATGTATATATTCTGAATCTACATAAAATTACCTGCAAATACCGACATTTTCATTATTTTTTAACTATGTTTAGTATGTTTCAAAAACCTAAAAAACGATACTCATTGGAGGAGAGCTATTTGAATGAACAGACCTGGACACTGATTGACCCGAAAGAAAATATCATCGATTGTAATTTCGAAGGTTACCGTGACACCGATTTTTTTTCGATCGCATGGCAGTTTACCGCGAAAATAGTTCGTATAGGTACAATAACTGTTTCGTTAGCTTGTCACCGGTAACTGTTATTACTCTTTAGTATCTTAGCCACTTTGTGCAGTTCCCAACAAAAGGCCGCATGATTATCGAAAATTACTGGAGCATGAAGCATATTCCATTCAACAATCTTTCATTATGACATTTTTATCCTCCAACTTTCTCTTTAGTATTACGTCGATCCACAGAATCATGTTTTTTTTATTTATTTCTATCTTTTAAAAACCGCTACTAGATTCCTCTGTTGCAAACGCCAAAAACTTCTTATTGTGGTTTTCTTGGGGGATCCCAGTAATCAAGCAGGCCGCGGTTTCTCACAACTTATCCACTAATATAATAAGCGAATTAGCTGATTTAGTAATATTTTTATTATATAAAAGTAAACCAGAAAATTTCAAAACTCTGGTAAGGCTAGATTAAGTCATCAACGATGAATACCATCATCCATGTTGTTTTTTTCTTTAATTCTATAGGATCTAGATTTATTATCTTTCTAATAATGAAAAATAAACGAAATAATATACATGTACTGATTTCTTTCGAAAATCGACAACTATGAAACTATGAACCCTTCCCGGACACAAACGGTACATTGTGAGACAGGAAATTATAGAGACAAACAAGCCCTATAACATAGGATACAACATTTTAATGAACAGTGCTTTCCATAAAATCAATAAAATGAAAAATATACCATATAATTTTCTTCCAAGTACTTTTAGTGATTCAAATGAAATTTTGAGGGTAAAAGTTACTGTAAGTGTTACATACTTTAACACCCTGTAGCTAGGAAACAAAGCAGAATCGGACCTATGTTGATATGAAAAGTAAATTTTATTTCTACGTGAGCCAGAGAGATGGCACATACTTTTTGAAACACCCCGTATAAATATGGTGTAACTAATCCAACTCTGTTTTATCTAGGTAACAGTTCCAACAGCACCGAGGGCAACAACCAACAGCCGGAACAACCTGGCAACATCCAACAGCACCTGCCAAGCTGGCAAATGTCGCCCAATCATCAACTACGCAATTTGAGTCCGGTGAATGGCCATAATCAATCTGGCAATATCGGTCAAAGTCCCGGACAACAGTTGGGCGGTTTTGGACAGAATATGTACCACGGGTACTCGAACCACGGTCATAAAGGTTTTGGGCACCACTACAACTGGTGGTACTGATTAAAGTATTAGATATATTTGTAAATTTTAGAATAAGTTAGGAAAGTTACATTGAGTGCGGAAAATTCGAAGCCAAAAATACTGTATATTATTTGTTAGTAATAATGTATATTATTTGTTAGTAATAATGTATATTATTTGTTAGTAATAGTCAGGGTTGGAAAAAAGCATGATTTTTTTTTAAAAAAATCAGATTTATTTGATTTAAATCAGATTTTTAAATTTTAATTCAAAACAATAATTAAATCGGATTTCCAAATACCTACGACTTATTTCCAATTAAAGGCCTATCCTAAATGGCCAAATTTTTTTCCACATCGGTCACCAATATATTCCGCAAAAAAAGTCGCTCGCTTCAGATCAAAAGGATTTTTTTTAAACATCTCAAAAATATTAATTTTTGTCATTTTAACGTTTAGACATAAAAGTAAAGCACTGTTACGCGTAAGCACAAAAATACAGAAATATATTATTAAACTGATATTAAGTGTCAAATTCAACGAGTGTACAAATTGTTGCTCGATTACTGTTTATATTATTTGTAATGTTTGAAATTGATTAAAAAATTATATGTTCTATTCGGAGTAAATATGTACTTTTTGTGCCTTCCTTCAAAGGTAAAGCATCGTTAAAAAAAGTATAATTTTTACTCCTAATAAAACAATACACTATTGTTCGGAAATAGTCTTAAGTTGAGAATGAAATTAGTATGTATTATCTAATGTCAAAGTGTAAAGTACTTACTGCAGATCAAAATGTCGTCGGTAGGAATTTGGAAAAAAAAGTCAAACAACATATTTTCTAACGATTATAGATTCTCGGGAATGAAGATATAGTCTCTATATTAGAAGAACCTAGTTCTGCACTAAGCTTTGCGAATGATATGTATTCGAACAGCGAATTTGTGTCACTTATAGGTACATAAATTTTAAAATAAATCCCTGCTTTTAGCGATCTAATGGATTCACACGAAATTACTTCAAAAATCGGTCCAACATTTAAATTGATGAACAGATATTTTTATATAGTTTTATAACATTTACAATTATTTTTTGATTTATTAACCGTTATTTTTTTATTTATTATAATATCTTAAGAGTCTTATTGTTTTGGCTTTTGTATTTATTATAAAGTTTCAATAATTTTTTTTGATTTAAATCACGATTTAAATCATGATTTAAATCATTTGATATAAATCATGCGAACCCTGGTAATAATGTATATTATTTGTTAGCAATACTGTATATTATTTGTTAGTAATACTGTATATTATTTGTAATTTATACTGTATACTGTGGTACTGATACAGTATTAGATTATAGTAATAATACAATAGTTTATAGTAATAATAAATAATATACAGTGAATTTTAGAATAAGTTAGGAAAAGTTACATTGAGTACAGAAAATTAAAAGCCAAAAATACTGTATATTATTTGTTAGTAATAATGTATATTATTTGCTAGTATTAATGTATATTATTTGTTAGCTATACTGTATATTATTTGTTAGTAATACTGTATATTATTTGTAATTTATACAGTATAGTTTGTGGTACTGATACAGTATTATATTATAGTAATAATATAATAGATTATCGTAATAATAAATAATATACAGTAAATTTTAGAATAAGTTAGGAAAAGTTACACTGAGTGCAGAGAAATTCGAAGCCAAAAATACTGTATATTATTTGTTAGTAATAATGTATAATATTTGTTGGTAATACTGTATATTATTTGTTAGTAATAAAGTATTTTATTTGTAATTTATACTGTATATTATAGGTTGTGGAGTGCTTTATGTTTTAGCTTTAGTAAATCAGTATGGAAGTATTAAAATCTGTCCTCCGTTTAAAGCCTACTTGATCATAAAATTTTTAATTACACCGAGTAAACTATCAATACCTGAAAAAGTCGAAAAAATAGTCAATTTAAATTTTCCTGATATCGTTGATTTGAAAACTACTGCTATTAACTGTAAAAAGGTGTAGCTTAAGAACATATAGGCCATTGTCGTCATTGAGTAGTTTTAACCAAACATCAAAAACAGCTCAAAAACAAGAGTTCAAAAAATTAATTTTCTAAAAAACTAAGATTTCTAAACCTCTACAATTGCTGACAACTAATTGCTGACATTTTCATAATTTTATAACTAGAGTTTCTATGTATCTAAGACTGAAATGAAACTATGTAAAAAACAGCAAAAAATTGGACATTTTTTCGACATATCTCCATACATAAAGCAAGAAAATAAATAGTTTTGTATATAGAAATTTTAAAAAAACTTCTATATACATATTCTATATAAGTAAACCATAATATTAGCAGAACAAAAATCTATCTACTTAAAAAACTACTAGCAATAATATTACCCAGTTTAAAATGAGACACTATATTAATTTTGTATTATACACCCTATTATAACATATAGTCTGCCCAACAAGGATTTTAACTAACAGATAAATCGTATTTTCTGTCATTTTTTGGATCTGTCTTCTGTCCAAATCTTCCCATACTTGTTGAACACACTATGCTTGTGAAATTGCGTATTATATATATTTGTATTATTGGATTGTTATTAGGCTTTCATGAATATATAATAATTAAGAGAATCACTAAAAACAATAAATATTTTCACTCCGAATTGTATGATATAATTTTGTATATTTTTTCACGTTTAAAATATTGATATTTTGTGTTGTATAGTCTGTGTATTTTTGTATAAAATTGTAATGAGTGTATATAGTGTGCGGTGCATTAATGAATAAAAAAAACTTAATATTCTTTATAGTTTATTGTTTGACTTTAATATAAAAAAATACCGTATGATCGAAAAAAAAACGACGTCCAAAGAGTCAATTATCATTGATTATCATTTTCAGCCGTCCTTGACGCCGTTATTTTTTTCGATCAAATGGTATTTGTACCTATAAAAAATCCTATAAAAAGAATTATAGTTTATACATCTAGAATATACTAAAAAACTGAGATATTATCTTCAACTTACGTATAATTTCCTATGGTAATACCCTCTTGAAGTTGTATCTAAAAAATTAAAGAAAATATGTCAATAAACAATAAATATAAAAAAAAAACACAAAATACGAGATATAAATTAAGAATATACTTACTAATTTTTTGTAAATCTAACGCTTCACAACTGCCTCCCATCTTCAAATTCTTGCAAGAAGGAACATCAAACAGTTTTAAACTAAAATATACAGTGAATATCAGTTTTTTGAAGAGTATAATAATATGATTATATAAAATCTCTGAAGAAAAGGTGAGAGTAAGAGGTTAAAAAATAATATAAAGTAATAATTGTTGTTCTCACCGTAGCCAGTAGCTATTTCAAAACCAAAATAATTTGGCAGTTGCTACTAAAATCTGAAAATTTTCTCTTGAACTCATTCTATACTCAAATTATTTCATTTCCAAGATTTTCTTGACATTATGGTGAAGGATCGCATAATGGATGGATTCAGATTTGACAGAAATAATCCCTAGTAGTTTGATACAGAAAAGAAAAAAAAGTATTAGTATTCATATAATGACTATGAAAATACAAATGAAATTATAAACTAGATTTTTTTCTTATAATAATAAATATGGTTAATGAAAATTAATTCCAGTTTTATCTCAGACTTGTACGATTCCTTTCATTAAATAACTTCCTTATGTGGGCAACCCAAATATTTTTATGTGTTGACTTCAATTTTGATGTTTAGATGACTTTCTCTGAAAAAAATTAAAAAAAATCTGGAAAATTATGAAGCTATAAGAAAATACTTTCTTACCTGTAATTTATATCACTGTATTTTTTATTCACACTTCATGAATCTTCAGAGAGCCTCATCACTACACTCCCGGAAATTCGACATAGAGCAGACTAAAAAAAATAAGCAACAAGCAATCCACAGTACCTATAGTGCAACTCTTACAGAGAACGTTAGTCCCTGCAGAGCTGCAGCCCTTACAGAGAACGTTAGTCTCTGAAGAGCTTGGAGCTGAAAAAATTCAAACACTGAACAACATGAACCAATGTGAACAGGAAGCCGACGAAAATCTTCTAAAGATATCTACTCAAAATGACCCTGATGTGGTTCCTTGGGGGCTCATACAAAGACTAATAGTACTAGAGCAACTTGACCTAATGCTGTAAGGAAAAGAGGAGCAACAAAAAACGAGTACCATAGACACAGAAATTTTGTAGACTTCAATTTGGCTTCGACATGACTCTGACCTGATGTATACAGCTTCAAATGTAGTCGAACTTCAATCGATGTGAATCAGTAAAACACGAGAACCCTACAAAAATATTCTGCAGACATCGGCTCAAACTGGCTGCTGTGGTTCCCTGTAAAAAAGAAAGACCACCATATACAAAGAGAACCTATAAAACCAAAAACCCTACCAAAAATATCCTGCAGACATCGGCTCAAACTGACTGCTGTGGTTCCCTGTAAAAAAGAAAGACCACCATATACAAAGAGAACCTATAAAACCAAAAACCCTACCAAAAATATCCTGCAGACATCAGATCAAACTGGCTCCTGTGGTTACCTGTAAAAAGAGAAAGACCACCATACATATATAGAGAACCTATAAAAACTAGAACCCTACAAAAATATTCTGCAGACATCGGCTCAAACTGACTGCTGTGGTTCCCTGTAAAAAAGAAAGACCACCATATACAAAGAGAACCTATAAAACCAAAAACCCTACCAAAAAATATCCTGCAGATATTAGCTTAAACTGGTTGCTGTGGTTACCTGTAAAAAAAACAAAGACCAACATATACATAGAGAACCTATAAAAACAAGAATCCCATAAAAATATCCTACAAATATTGCCCCAAACTGGCTGCTGTGGTTGCCTATAACACTCATACCAATAGCTGTAAAAAATAGTAACAAAAAAGACCACCGTAAACATAGAAATTATGCAGACCTCAATTCAGCTTCGACATGACTCTGACCTGTCGTATACAGCTTCAAACAAAGTATATCTTCAACTAGCGTGAACCTATAAGACACAAGAACCCTACAAAAACCATCTGAAGATGTCGACTCAAACTGGAGGCTCATATAGGCTATCAGTCTTTGCAGAGCACCAAGGCCTACTCCTGGAAGAAAATAAACGAGATTTAGATATGACGCAGTTAAGTTTTGGACCGCAAAAATTGAACTAACGAACCTATGATAACCTGGAAAAGTCGTAAAATTTTTTACTGCGCCATTAAAAATTTGACTCCTTTTTTCTAGGCCCTAGAATTATATCTGAACTTGAATTGAAAATACAAAAATAAATTTAAAACATTTAGACTATTTGTATTAAAAATTTAGTTATTGAAATGCTTAGATATAGACATGCGTTTACTCTAAAGTAGAATAAGTAAATGAAAGTGAGTTAAAAAATTAGGAAGTTAAAGAAAGTTGCCTACACCTACACGTTTAATTTAAGAAAATAATAATATCTCTTAGATGTTTTCTAGATTTCAGTTTGGCTTAGATAATATGAAGAAAACTATTAATTATAGTGAATAAAAGCTATTTTTTTAATTACTTTAAATCAGAGAGAATTTAATCCCAAATAACGCTAAAAAGAAAATATCAAAACAATGAAAAGACTTGGAATCTCCATTATCTTTGCACCCTCGATTCAACATTACAGAGACTAGAATATGATGATTATTGTATTAAATTTAGTTTAAAATTACAGAAAATATTAATACTAATAGTGACCTAGAAAGTCATAAAAATCTCTACTACACAAATTAAAAAAATTTGATTTCCTTCTTCTGGGGCCTAGAATTATATCTGAACTTGAATTGGAAATATAAAAATAAATTTGGAAAATTTAGACTATTTGTATTAAAAATTTAGTTACTGAAATGCTATATATTGACATGCGTTTACTCTAAAATTGTAATAATTAAATGAAAGTGAGTTAAAAAAATTAAGAAGTTAAAAAAAATTACCACACCTACATGTTTAATTTAAGAAAATAAAAATAACTGTTAGACGTTTTCTAGATTTTAATTTGACTTAGATAACATGAAGAGAGCGATAAGAACCTCAAACACATCCTTAAGAAAAACCGATAGACATTACAACCCAATAAAAAGACCGATAGACATAACAACCCAATGGACCTCCGCTGCTTTCGAGAGGAAAGCATGTTCTTTGCTTCTGTGAGGAGCCTCCACAGAGGACGTTAGCCCCTGCGGAGCTCAACCCAACTTGCTTCTGTGAGGACGCTCATACAGGGGACTTTAGCTCCTGTAGAGGTCGACTCAACACTCTGCTTCGCTTCTGTGAGGGGCCCCACAGGTGACTTTAGCTCCTGCAGGACCGCGCTCACGCCATCTCCAGGGAAGTAAAGGAACAACCAAATAAACCAGAAAGAAAGTAAATTTAAAAAAAACTTACGTTTTGTTGGAGGGCTCCAATTTTTTTAGTTGTCACTCCCGACGATGTGCCTCCCTTGCACAAAAAATATGCGCTCACTAACCTGAAACAACAGAAAAAATACGTTAGTTGAGAATAATAAAAAAAGAAAAATAATTATAACATACCTGATTTTATCTCGTTCCATGCCCCATCCTACTGTCCATGTCCATAAAATCTTGGTTCCAGACCCGCACCAATCGTCGTACCTTATCAGAAACAGCCTTAAGGACAAGAGTACCTTAAGGCAACCGTTCGTGAATAAGGTACTACGATTGACACGTTGTACATCAGACATCCCAAGGCCACAAAAATTATAGATTTATTACTATGGGTAATAAGAAAGATTGAATATAATGATAAATTATATTCAAGTTAATTTTATTTTCAATGAGAATTTAGTTTACTCCAAAATACAATTAATGATGGGCAAAGTGCATTATTTTAAAATGATTAAATTTAAGTTTTATTATAATAAACATGAACAAAATTAAAAATAGTTGAAATGGTTTTAGTTTATTAAGAACATGAAACCTCGTACGTTTTTGTTAATGTAAATGGAATTAGAGAAAAAAAATAGTAAAATTATGATAGAAAAATGATGATAGTTTAAAGGACATAATAAAAATTAAGTTTGAGGCTGTGCGAAATATAATTAAAATTTAAGAAATAAAATTTGAAAAAATAATAATTTATCATTAACTATGTTGTAGGTATATTAAAATATTTATTTTAATGATAACTCCAAGCTTCCCTAGAAAGATTCTCAATTAATTCTGGATATTCTCAGATAATTAAGATCCTAATTTTTGAAAATTTTAACATTTATTTAAAAATTATAGGAAATAAAAATTATGTTCTTTTAGAAAAAATCTAATCCCAAATAACACTAAACAGAAAACAGTAAAATAATAAAGGCTGTGAACCTCAGTTACCTTAGCACTCCCCATTCAACACTACCGAGACTAAATAAAAATAAAAAATAGCTACATTAAACTTTGAGTAAAAAAGTTTTTTCGGTAATAAATGAAAAATAACAGAGTAAAAGTCCAATTAGGTTTAAATCATTTTGAGAAATAGACACCTGGAAAACATTTAAAAATGTTATTTCTTGTGATTTTAACTCTAAGATTTTAACAAACGACAAGAAATACAAAAGATTATATATGATTCGAAACAAAGAAGGTATATGAACGGAAATAAAAAAGTGTGACCTTAAAATGCTGTGTAAAGCCTTAGAAGATGCTTCAAATTCTACAAAAATATTTCGCATTCATCTGCATGCTGAAACAATGATAAAAAGAAGATCAGTAAAGATGTTCTATGTACCTAAGAGTACTAAAAAAATTAACCAAGAAATTTAAATAACTATTTAATAAAAATATATTTAAAAAGTAAATACAGATAAAAGTCAGCGGCCAACAAGATAATATAATAAATAAAAATTACAATAAAGTAAAAGTATTTAAAAAAATTTAATGAAATTAATTCTCCTTCATTGAAATCAGCTAATAATATCTTTTAAAAATTTCTACAAAAGTATTCTAAAAAGAAATAAAAAATGTACATAATTTTATAGTGATTATATGTATAGTAATAGCCATAATAGTCAAAAAGTTAAAATATTTGAAAATCTCAGTATTATCTGTTTTTGAAATAGTGGGTAAATAATATTGTAATTTTGGTTCACCCTGTATACCTATGAGTGCCAAAAAAAAAATTGTTACAAAATTTCTTGGCTTAATTACTTGAAAAGGCTTCTAAATAATAATAAAAATAAACAAATCACAATACAATATAATCAAAAAAAAAGCGTCAGCGACGGCTACGAAATGAAGATCGCTGTCGTATTATATGCAAAATTATATGGGAAACGGCATCGATGTCGTTATTTCCAAACCAACTCGACACTGTTTTTTTTCAGCCAAACGAAAATTGAACCAAAAAAAGTCCTAGCATGCATAAAATAACATTTAGGAGAACCATTTAATAAAGACATTCTATTTGAAAAGGCTTCCAAATAATAATAATAAACGAATAGCAATACATTTAAAAAGAAAAACGGCGTCAGAGATGGCTATGAAAGGAAGATTGCTGTTATTTTACATGTAAATTTATATGGGGAAAGTCATTCATCGTTATTTCCGAGCTAACTCGACGCCGTTTTTTTTTCAGCCAGAAAAAAATCCTAGCATGCATAAAATAAGATTTTTAGAGACTTACCATAAAAATAATAAATTTCTGTTCTTTTCCAATCTTCTTGTCCAAATCTAGTGCAATTTTCCTGTTCAGCATCCTGTTCTTAGAGTTCCAGCCTGTTCTATTGATCCCGGCATTGTGTTCCATCACCCGATACACAGAACCATCCGGAATGGACAGATCACGCCCCCCAATCGCGTGTCTCGAAAGACACTCGTTTGGCTGGCACAGCTCAGGGTGTATATTCTTAGGGCATGATAGACTTTTACGCCCGACATGACTGGAAGGCCTTACCCTACGTCCATGCCCGGTCGCGACACGCGCGTAAAGTCACGAAAAACGACGAATTTTGAGAAAAAAGCGCGAGATCCTGTGTATTACGCTATACGAAAATTAAATGTTCATTTAAACTATTTCAGTTGGTTTTAAAATGGTTCAATCTGTTTGTGGATTGTTAAGTATCACAAATCACGTGAGCAGTTCTGAAAAAATAAAAAAAATATATTAAAACGTGAAAAAAAAAAGAAAGAAATGGGTCTCAGACTTACCTCATTAGCATCAATAATTCTGGAATAAAATAATATGCTGTTATTCCTGTTTCAACACTGGGACTTTTAAGGGGAGTCGAATGAAAAATTATTGTTGATTGTCCTAAAACAATAAAATAAATTATTAGAAATATTAGCTAAATCAATTAAAGAAAATTCACTTCTTTACCTCTTTTTAACAATTGTATAACTTTTCTGCATTAGTCTCTGTTTCTTTGACCTCTTCTATGCACCTCCATTTTTTTTTCGAAGACTGCCTTCTAAATCAAGAATTCCATTATCTTCTTCTTCGCTGGCAGGGTGGTTTTCATCCGTGGCACTGGATAAAAGACTCTACCTTTGCATCGTAATGACGATATATCTATTTATAGCAACAGAAAATACATATAAAAAAGTAAACAGAAAGATTAATAAAAAAATTAAAACATCGGAAAAGAAATGGCCGTTACTTTTCAGCCAATAGAATTGCGAATCTAGGCGGCTGGTTTAGAGGGTCCGATTTTTCGAAAAAATTTCGCGAAATTCACAGGTAAAATGGTCGTACTTACCCTCTTTAAGAGTCCGGTGGGGTACTAAACACAATTTCCGAGCACAATATATAAGAAAAAGGCACTTTTCTCCACCAATTAACAAGTATTCTGGAGCAGCACCCGACACAGACCCTTCCTCGTCCGCAGTGCGTCCAGGAATGACGTAAATCGACCGAAACGGCCAATAATATTGAGTTTTGGCGCTCGTTTCCTGCTTTTCGCCGCTAGAGGCAGCACTTTAGCGCGTTTTTCTTTTGTTTTACCGATCGAAAAATATGCAATTTTACGACACAATTTCAACTTTAAACGAAAATTTAACAATATTAAGCTACTTGGAGTGAAAACTACTACCAGGGAAATATAGCTACACGTTTTTCGAATAAAATGACACCCAGCAATAAACGAATAAAGCAAAATTCGCTAAGATATCGCATTTTTATTACCCCAATGTCCGTAATTGTTAACATCATAAAAAATTGATTTTTGGTCTAAAAAAGGGTTTAAAACTTTAAAAACACTCAGGGAATTGTGTATTATCATTAAATACCTCTAACTATGCAGTTTCAAGCCTATCAAACCCATATAAATTAAAAAAAAATCAAAAAACATTATGGCGGTTCGGTAACCATCTGAATATTCAATTAATATCACTTTGTCGTTCGATATTTTCCTATGCAATGTAATATTTAGTTAAACAGAGTCTTATTACAGCTACAAATCATAAAACAAGATGGTAATACCCCAATATATAACTTCTACAAGACATCTTGTTTGTCAACGTAATGGCCAAGGTTTTTTCCTAATATTTCACTAATTATGCCTCGAAATCGATATAAAATCTCATTTGGCATGATTCTGTGTTATATTTATTATGTTTCTGTAGTTTTTTAACAAGTTCCAAGCCCCAAAACATCAAAAGACTAAACAAGAATTTAGCTTTACTCGACAAAGATTTTGGTTCATCGTAACATCTCTACCTATAACATATACATACTTGTAGCACATAGATCTCCTAATATTATACTTTCTCTACGTGATTAATAGTGAAAATTAGGTTAATACAATGTTTTAGAAACCGTAAATAAGAAAAATTAAAAAATTCTAATATACAGCATGAAATGAAAAGCAACAGCTGACATATTTAACTAAATTCAAAGTTATCCGTGTAATAATCGAAACTGTACGTTAAAAAACTGTTAATTGATGTTCTAGTAAGACTCTAGAGTATTTTTATTATATACCAGGTGATCAAAAACTTACTTTGCCCTCAAACTAACCTGTTTTACCATTTTTAATGTACTTCCATTTATCTAGTTGTTTTGTTTTGGTTTTACCATACAAATTCTGTATTAAAATAAATAAAACAAAATTTTTCATGCAACTCTTTATTATATTAAGTAGATTACAGTACATTATAGGTCTAAATATTTGTTCTTACTGATTTTTCAAGCACTTAAAAATAATCACTTAAAAAATGTACTGTATACATAGGGTGTTTTAAATAAGTATATAAACAATTATTAACATTTAATTAGAGGTATTCTCTACTTAGGAAGAAATAAAAACACTTAAAACTAAAACATTTAAAATTATTTGCTATAATTACAGCTTAATATAAAAAAAATATTTCTTCAAATACATAGTTTTTAAACCTACACAAATATCACAATACAACAAAAAATTATCGTTTTTATAGAGAAAAAAAAAATGCGGCAGATAAAATGGCATTTATTCTTAAAATTACGTTTTGGTATCGAAGCATCCGGTCTTGTCTGTCTTAATAATATACAGGGTGGTCTGAATAATTATCGGGAAACTTGGGAATGTAACAAATTCTACAGTTAAAAACACATAAAAAAGTTCGTATAAATTATGTCCTAAAATGGTTTCGTTTCGGAGATACAGGGGTGTAAAAGTCTTTTTTATTTTTATTTGTACAGGTAATCATACAGGGTGTTCATAATTCCACGCCAAGCTCTCTTAAGTATAAAATAATAATTGTTCTTGATTTTAAATGAAATATATACAGGATGGCGCCTCTCATACGCCGCGGAGGCTCTAAAGAGTTCTACAGGGTGGCCCCAAAAAAAGTTACATATCAAAGTTGTGTTTTTTCTAATGGAACAATCTATATATTAATTGATTTTTGGATTCTAGGAGAAAAAAAAGGTGAGTTTTATTAAGGAAGTATATGACTGAAATGTAAGGTTTAACATTTTTTTAAAAATAAAGAACAATTTTGAAATTTCAATCAAAGCTACCCAATTTGGACTTTACCAGGTATAGCCTAATATGTAGTTAAAATAACTACTAAACTTTAAATCAAATCAAAACCTGATCGAAAAAGTGATACAGGGTGAGGCAAAATTAATGTTGAACATTGCCTACCCCTCAAACAAAGATATTCCTAGATATTTTCATTTTTATGATTTAGTGTGAGTAGATATTTATCTATTATTTGATAAAATCTAGGGCGACTGTGATATGTCTTACGTTACTTTAACATAGCTGTCTAATTAGTTCAGCTTTAGCAACTAGTTATCATTTTGTGTCAGATAAAACAAAAAAATATCCGGAATATCGGTATAGACATTTTTTTATAAAGATCTGCTGGCTACAAAATCATAAAAATAAAAATATCTACGAAAATCTTTGTTTGAGGGGTAGGCAACCTTAATAACATTTAGAAGATATACGAATTCTCCATTGAACACCGGAATAATATACTGGGTCTTCCATTTAAAACAAAGGAATAACTTGCTTTAAAAAGTGACCAATGTTCAATATTAGTTTTGTCCCACCCTGTATAACTTTTCGAGTCAAATTTTAATTTGGTTCAACACACATCGGTTATTGTAATTAAATATCAGGCTATACAGGGTAAATAATAATTTATATAGCTGTTATTGAAATTAAAATTTCGTTTTTCATTTTCACAAAACGTGAAATATGTCAAAATCCTTACATTTTAGGCATATATGCTTCTGTAATAAAACTCACCTTTATTTTATTCCTAGAATCCGAAAATCAATTAATATATAGGGTGTTCAATTACAAAAAACACAAGTTTGATGTGTAACTTTTTTTGGGGACACCCTGTAGAACTCTCTATATTTTTAAAAAGTGCTCCGAATTAACCTACATATGCTTACAAAATTTCAATTCAATATAAACTGTCGTTCTCTGGCGTCACCCTGTATCTCTTAAAATGAAGCATTTTAATACATACATTTATAGGAAATTTTTTACGTATTTTTATCTGCAGAATGTTTTACCTAAATTATCCGAATACAATTCGGACCACCCTATACAGAAAAATAAAAACGATTAATCTATGAGAAATTTACTTACATCAAATCTAAGGTACGCATAAACGAGAGTAAAATGGAAAAACTTAATAATCATGGCAAACGTTCCATATAGAAATATCGCTATCCTCTCCAGCTAGATAAAAAAAAAGAAAAAAAAACATAGATTTAATTTTTACTATAAATGATCGAAAAAAAACGGCGTCATAGAAGGCCGGGAAAAGACTAGGGCTTGGTCTCGTCAAAATTACCGTCGGTTCGCGTTTCCCAGCCTTCTATGACGCCGATTTTTTCTCTCGATCGCACGGTACCAACTCACCAACGGCAAAGATTTTCGTCTTCCAAAATTGCGTGGGTAGTGGCGTGAATACAATATCAAAAATTTGCCCTCTATGCCCTTTTAATACTATCAATTGTCTGTAAGTTTCTCCGCAGAACACCCTGTAACAAAAAAAAAATTATACAGGGTGGCGCCTCTCATACGACGCGGAGCCTGCAAGAAAAAAAAAAGTGAGTTTTATTAGTGAAACATACGACTAAAATGTCAGGTTTTTGAGATATTATTTAATATTTTCTAAAAATGAAAAAAAAAACATTTAAATTTTAATAAAAACTACGTAAATTAGAATTTACCCTGTATAGCCTGATATACACACACCGGAAAAATCTAGGGATATCATTTAATTAAAGTTAAAAATAAATGTTTTGAATAAACAACCACATATTTGTAGGCCGATTCTTTCTACTTCGATTGAAACGAAGTAGTCACACTAGTTATTTCTAAATTTGGGATATTTGGAGAAGTGTTTGTGCATTTTTTGTCAAATGTATAAAAAGCACCAAGCATCAATTGTTCGAACTTAACCTGTACTAGCTATGTTTTTATGATAACTGGCCAGAATTCATTCAAATAACTCTGTTTAGTATTAAACGACATTATGGAGCGTAGACATCTTAACAGAGATGAAATGCTAAGGGTCATGGGTATGCTCGAAGCTGGAATGCGTCAAATCGACGTAGCTAGAGCATTAAATACAACGCAAAGTGTAATATCGCGATTAAGTGCACGCTACCGTGAAAGTGGTGATGTTGCTGAATGAAAGGCACACAGGGCGACATCGCATTATTACCCATCAGAGATCATTTTTTACAATTAAATGCTCGACGCCGACCGACTCTTACAGCACCATAGCTTAGTTTAATTCTCCAGGAAACACATAATGTAACCGTTAGTCCTGACAATGTTCGCAATAGATTAAGAGAGGTCAACTTAAGAAGCAGACGCCCCTGGAGAGATCAACCCTTAACGAGAGGAAATCGAGAGGTACGATATTTGTGGGCTCAAGATCATGTTCAGTGGTCGAATGAACAATGGGCCAATGTTCTCTTCACGGATAAGTCACGCTTGGGAATTCATCCGGATTCGAGAAGGCTTAGGGTATGGAGAGAACCGGAAAATCTTATTCGGTTGGATCATGTTCAGGAAGTGCACCCTTATCAAGGTGTAACAATAATATGGTCTGGGGAGGAGTACAGTTAGGCCGAAAAACCGATCTCGTTTTTCTTGAAATTGTGTTACCATATGCCAATGATTTTGGGAGAAACTTCATTCTCAGCAGCCAGAGTGGTAAGTGAGTTTATCAATGCTCATCAATTAAACATCTTACCCTGGCCGGCACAATCTCCTGACCTCAACCCCATCGAGCACGTATGGGACGCGGTCCAAAGAAGAATTTTGAGAATGGGTATGCCTCGTGAAACTCATAGGGATCTGGTTCGGGCCGTGAATGCAGCGTGGCAGGCGATATCCAACCTGATGAGGAGCATGGAGAGACCATGTAGGGCTGTAATGAACAGTAGAGTACCATACCAAACAGTACCATACCCTTTATTAAGTAAAAATGGTTTTATCTTTTTTTTTTTAATTCCCAGTTTAGAATTTAAAAAAATGTGGGTATTTTTTCAATAAAAATCAAGGTAAATTTGAAAAATTCGGTAAATTTCGCATTTTTATTTCCAATACGTCCTGTCAACTATTTGTTTATTTTAATTTTATTATATCAGAAATGCAAATAATAAAATTACTGACGATGGCTGGATAAAATTGTAATATCCCTAGACTTTTCCGGTGTGTGTATATTTAGTTAAAACAACCACACACTGTATGTTAAACCGACTTTAATTTAGACCAGAAAAGTTATACAGGGTAAGACAAAATTAATATTGAACAATAGTCACTTTTAAAAACAAATTACTTATTTTTATTTTAAATGGAACACCCAGTATATGTATTATTGCGATATTCAATGGAGAATTCATATCTCTTCAAAATACTATTAAGGTTGCCTATCCCTTAGACAAAGATTTTCCTAGATATTTTCATTTCTTTTTTTGATTGGGCGCACACCAATTAATATCAATATATGTTGAAGGATAAATTTCCATTTTTAACACAGGATGATAACTAGATTGCTAAGTTGAATTAATTTGACAGTTATGTTGGAGTAACGTCAGACATAATATCCTATATTTTATCAAATAATAAAGATCTACATGTAATCTAAATTGACAATATCTATGAAAATCTTTGTCCGCGGGGTAGGCAACCTTAAGAGTATTTTGAGGAACACGAATTCTCCATTGAATATCGAAATAATATACCGGGTGTTCCCTTTAAAATAAAGGAGTAAGTTGCTTTTAGAACTGACCAATGTTTAATACCAATTTTGTGTCACCCTGTATAACTTTTCGTGTCAAATTTTAATTTAAATTGACGTACAATGGATATTTAAACTAAGTATCACGCTATACAGGGTAAATTACAATTTAGGTAGCTTTTACCAAAATTTAAAATTTGAACTTAATTTTTAGAAAATGTTAAATATCTCAAAAAGCTGACATTTTAATCATATATTTCTCTAATGAAACCCACTTTTATTTTTCTTCTAGAATCCAAAAATCGATTAATATATAGGGTGTTCCGTTACGAAAAACAAAACTTAGATGCTTAACTTTTTTTGTGGACACCCTGTAAAACTCTGTATATTTTTAAAAGATGCCCTAAATTAAGATACATATGTTCACAAAAGTTCACTTCAATACACACTGTTGTTCTCCTTGGGCATCAAATAAAATAAAAAACTTTTGCTTACCTCAATCTACCATCAAATCCTCCGGTAACAAAAATCTTATTATCGGGTCTAAACCTCACAATTTGGGCACCTTCTTTCGGAAACTGTACTCCAGGATCATACATGGATAATTCCAGTGTTTCCGGGTTCAACTTAAAAATTTTCAAAGGCTTGAACGCATTGGAAGCTATCCCTTTGTAATCTACTGAGTTAAACGTGATACGAGTCACCATTTCACCGAGTTTTACTTTGCTACATTGCTTCCCTGTATCGTAGTCGAACAAAATTACATAACCTACAAAAGAAAAACGTTAAAAACTTAATATTAAATGTATACAGGGTGATCCGAACTGTATTCCGGAAACTTCGGCCAGCATATTTTGCAGATAAAAAAAAAGGTAATTATTGGGAAAACTGGAAATCGTCAGATTTTCACCAAAATTGGTATACACCCTATTTTGAGGTCGTAGATTACGAATCTGAACTTTTTTCTTGGCGGTCTCTTACCGTTTTTCAGAAAAAATGGAAAATTATTTCAACATCGAACTTTTCTTAATTTCTCATATTTTTAAGGTTTTCTAGCACGTATTTTGTTAGGCATTCAATAAACAATGATGTTATTGCTATTTTCTATTACTTTTTTAACCAATTCTATGCATAATAGAGGAAAATTTGCTAAAATAAATTTGTCAACAATCTGAAAATGTTGGGTTATGTGTTTCTGGCATTTAAAGCAACGTTGCCAATGCTAAACCTAAATTTAGCGTGTTTTTTTCGCTCATTCTGGGATTAGCGAGATCTAGCGAGATCTGACCATTTATAACCACGAAGTTGCATGAAAGAGTTTTGATTGCATTGGTTACAACTTTCATGCGGAGGGTGATAATCTTTTGTTGTTATATTATATCAAAAAAAGATTAACCCCCTCCGCAAAGAAGTTAAAACCAATGCAATCAAAACTCTTTCGTGCAACTTCGTGGTTATAAACAGGGGGGTGACAGTAAACCGGAAAATTGGAAACAGTTCTGGCGCGGTCTTACCCAGGCAGAAAGCATGGCCTTCTAGACTGTCCTATACAAAAATCTGAATATTTCTATATGATTTCTGTCAATTTCAGTTACGGAACATTTTTATGCACGTCGGCGTCCTCTTCTTTTGTCTGTGTGTCAGCGATGTGTCAACTCCCGAGGCCTCTGGCAAGGTCGAGCGCCATTTTAATTTTTGCCGTTTAGATTTGATTAGAAGCTTGTTTATGATATTTCGGCGGAAATTTATAAGTACAAAGATGTTTTTTGATATAAAGTTCCTTGTTAACACTTTAATAAAGTATATATGATATTAATTACATAAAGAAAATGATGAAATCGACGTTTCTGCGTGTAGTAGGTATGGGCCATATTATATGTAAAAATAGGTAATATATTAACTGTTATATTTTTTTAGCTTTAGATCCAAGGATCTTGGGATATTCTTTGCCAAGGATTTTTCCGTATATCTACTTTAAAGACTGATCGGAGATTTTGAGCAATTGAAAGCAAGTTACACAAGGTAAATTATGATTATTGAAATATTATTAGCCTACATTAATTATCTACAAGATGAACAGAAATGCGTAATTACATATCACATAGGTACCTATTATGTATTTTCATAGCAATAATGCTATGTATGTAGATTATTTTTAAAATACAAATGAGGTATTAGATGTATATCATATCATGTATATCATATGTGTATCATATTTTTTATTCATTTTATTTTCATTCAAGTCCTGTTTGATTTAATTCACAACAGTCTTATGTACCTATATTTATGTTTTTTTTACATATTTTTTTTTTGATTCCAGGTTTTGCGTGGGTTCCTGTTGTCTTTTTCTTGCTTCCAGTTAGTTTTACGCCCGTGAAGCTGTGAAAACATTTATTTATCTTCAAGTTTCTGTAAGTCAGTGCATTGTTACTTTACTATTTCACTTTAACACAGCATCTCTGATGTTATTTAAATATTTTGATATTGATACAGTAGTTTATGGGTTTATAGCTCTTTAATTGTGTTGATTTGCATATTTACATTGTTCTAAATTCCAAATAAATATTTTTGAGTAATTTTGTTGTATTATTTACTACTAGAAAAAGTAAAAAGTATATTAACCCTCATTTAAACCTCCTGAACAGCCCGCCATTAAAAACCGGAAACGGAAATAAATTTCATAAAATTGAAATTGTCATGTCAGTGAAGTGTCTATGTCATGTCAAACCATGTCAAATGTCTCAGCCGCCATATCTGAAAATTAGTTACCCAGGCAGCCACGCTGTTTCCATAATTTAACATTGACTTGACACTTCTTCTTGTATTTATTATTTTATGGTTATAAATAGTCTTTATATAACTTCTTTGCGGAGGGGGTTAATCTTTTTTTGATATAATATAACAACAAAAGATTAACCCCCTCCGCATAGAAGTTGAAACCAATGCAATCAAAACTCTTCCGCGTAACTTTGTGAATATAGGCAAGTATAATTAATATTGTCGATCTCATAATAGGTAACTTATTTAAAATCCCTAATCACCCGAAAAAATAGAAGATATGGCAACGTTGTAAATTTTCAAATTTCTAGATTAGATCTAAGGAAATCTTGCACAGCTTATTGATGCAGGATTAGCAGAATGGGAAAACGTACTATAGAATATATTTGTCTCTCATTACATAGGAGAGAGAAAGAAGGTCAAACTTCCATCTTCCATCAAATGTCAAACTTCCATCTGGTCTCAATTTTCTTTGCTATATTGTTAAGAAAAGTGTTTTTCAGTAAAATTTTGGACATTTTTCTATCCCCAATCAAGTGTAGCTTTTAGATAAACTATAATATAATGAAAATATAGTGAAATTATTTCTTTATAGGGCCGAAATAAAGAAAAATTCAATGTTGAAATAATTTTCCATTTTTCTGAAAAACGGTAAGAGACCGCCAAGAAAAAAGTTCAGATTCGTAATCTACGACCTCAAAATAGGCTGTATACCAATTTTGGTGAAAATCGGACGATTTCCAGTTTTCTCAATAATTACCTAATTTTCTTTCCTCCGTTAAAAATCGTCTTTTCGTTTAAGAATCATGATCATCATATTTTTTCATGTCTTAGCGCGCTTTCACACACGCCGGCAATATCGGTGCCGGTGCCGGAGCTCAAATCGATTGCATTATAAATAAATTAGCTCCTACACATATACTCCGATCCGGTAAAATAATCGGGGACCGGCTAAGAAAGTAGCCATTTTAGTCATTATAACATAAATAAAGTGCGATTTTACTTACCACTCTCGTAGCCAACAAGCAAATAGTTAGTTTCTTTGATTTTAAAATTTTCCTGGCACATAGTTTTCCCCACTTCTCCTCTCTCCATAGTGGGTGTGAGTTTTTTGACACTGTCGGCATTGTGTAGGTCATAAGCCTCAATTGAAAAACCATCGTGGGGTAGTACTATGTGGTTATCAATCAGAACACTTTGACAATACCCTCCGAAGTGGCTCATTGCACTGGTCATACTAAAATTGAATAGTTTTCAATATAAATATAGGAGAGGGAGAGTGAGAAAATACTTACCTGAAGACAGTTGGGCCGGATATTTTCCATATCGTGGCCGTACCATATCTGTCCTGGACTATAATATCGTTCTCAACTACGTGGATCTTTTGAATCGGCACATTCCGAGTCATGACATGTCTGAACTCCCAGTGGCGGTCCTAAAATTTCAATAAAACCCTGTAACAAGTGTATTTCGAGTGTGTCAAAGCTAAACTGGCTTCAAATACAGATATAAACAAGTACAATTGACTTTTAAGCGTGTCTGAACTTTCTTCAGGTCAATCCCACTTTTTTCTAAGACCGACTTGAGTAAAGCTGGTTTCAGAGCGAATATAGGTAATACGGACATAATCTCCATGCAATTAATGTGAAATACACTTTGAAGCCTGCTTTAAGCAAAATTTGCTTAAAACGCTTTTAAAAAACGTGGTCATTTTTTTTACGACAGCCATCATTTTTTTAAACTATATAAAATAACTATGCTATTACTTACTATCAGATTCCAAAAGTGGACATCTCCCCTTTCCGTGGCCGCTAAAAGCAAATCGGTGAAAGGTGAATTTCTCTTGAGAAAATTGTCTGGAAAGCACAAGGAGCTGACTGGTCCCATAGGGGCCAGGATGGCCCTCTCCATGTTGAACAATGGGTCTCTCAGTACATTTTTTGGTTTGTATTCGCTGCGATCTGTTGCCATTTCTAAAAGATGGTCGGTTTAACGTAGAAATAAAATATAGCAAGAATATCTGATTAAAATTTGGAAAAACTATGCTTTTCGTATCAGTATCAGAAGTACCAAAAAGTCATCTAAAAATGGAAGAAATTTAAAATATGTTTAAACAATGCCGTCTCTAATAGATCAGCCATAGGACGAGATTTATGACGTCACGCTAGTTAGATACTACGGATTAATAAATATGTTGTAGAATACATGGAAAACACAATTATTCCTCAGATTTTTGGTTTGTATTTTAAAAATGATATCGTTTACATGAAAAATACATAATATACAGGTAATAACGACAACATATATACCTATTTATAATTAATAAATACTTTGGCAAATAAACTATGAACCATACAAATGCAGCAAATGTTTTACAATATACAAATAATGTATTACATAAGATATTGGGTAAAATGTAAATATATTTTAAATTTTGGGGTTTGAAAATCGATCTAATTTAACAAAAAACATTCAATATCTACTAATAGTGATGTATTATTATTTGCATTCACAAAATTTATATGTATATTTTGCAAGTATCAATGTTCGAAAAATTATATTTACAAATAATACAATATCATCTAAAAAAAGGCGTCAGCGACGGCTATGAAATGAAAATCGCTGGCATTTTATATGTAAAATTATTCTAAAATTTTTGATTTTCTTGGGATTTTTAGGTTCGGGAAAAACGCTGATTTAAGTTTTCATTTGGGTTTTCATTATTTTTATTTGGTTAAAAAAAAACGTTTCGGCTAACTATAGCCTTCATCAGTGTTGTGTCATATGAAAAAAATAGTGTCGAATATAATCCAAAAAATTACATATAAAATATTCACACCACATAATGTTTACTGCAATTAATAAACTAATATAAACTTATCAAAAGATGACCACATATTTTTTAAATTATGAAGAATTTTGCTTTGTATGAGGAGTCATAATGAGGAGAAATAATATGATGTGAATGGTTATATTTAAAGCCATATTTCTTCTGTTTTCTTAAATACATTATGTGTTTTCTAAAGCTTTAACTTATTATAACCTCATATCATACCTTTGACATTTGAAAGTTACATACATATGTTACATAAACTACACCCTCTACATAAACTACATTAACTACATGTAATGTAGTTTATGTAGTTTTTAAAACTAACATGTAGTTTTCCGAACCCTGGTACGCAGTAAACATTATGTGGTGCGTGGTGTGAATATTTTATATGTACTTTTTTGGATTATATTCGACACTATTTTTTTCATATGACACAACACTGATGAAGGCTATAATGTTAGCCAAAACGTTTTTTTTAAACCAAATAAAAATAATGAAAACCCAAATGAAAACTTAATCAGCGTTTTTCCCGAACCTAAATCCCAAGAAAATCAAAAAATTTAGAATATTTAGAAACAAGGTTCAAGAATATCAAATTTTCCAAGATTGTAAAATTCTAGTTAATTATTTTATGTGTACAATTATTTAGGGAATGTCATCGATGTTCATTTCCAAGCCAACTAGACGCCGTTTTTTTCCATGATACGGTATAATTCTTACATAAAATGTAAATAACATTCGACCAATTAAAACAAAAAAATACGAATTTCATAGTATTTTTAGTAACACCTTTATTCTTAAAACTTAATGTTGTATTGCAAATATACCAATTTTATTCATATTGTATTCAGCCATCCCTTAAATATTTGATATTAATTTGGTATTATAAATAATCAACACTATTCAGTAAAAATTACTGAACAAATATATGTTTTGCTTTACATACATTATATTATCAAACAAAAACACATTCTTCTTTTAAACTTTATCATTCTTGTCTTTACAAAAATCTTTTTTAATTTTGAACTCAAAATAATAATCTTTTTCATGATCTTTAATACACATATTCTTTATTTTCCCTAGATCATAATACCTACTTACGTGTTTATCTTACGTGTTTGAATCTATCGAAGCTGAACCAACAACACTTGGGTGGAGATTCCACAATATGAATAAAATAAACATAATTGTCAAGTTTTCTTTAATACCATCCTGGGAGAATATTATTTTAAATTTATTAAAGATATTTTCAATAGAATTGTCTTGATTTATTACTCGTACCCACTTTTCTTGCTCTTCCGGATACTTTAAGCTGCCTAGTATAACTATCCTTTCCACCAGGAATACAACAAAGATGAAGCACATCACCAAAAACACACTCCATTTAAGCTTTATTGATGAATTGTTAGAGTCTTAAAAAACACACACAAAAATCACGATAAATAAAAAAATTATGGGCACTTTTAGGTTAAAGCACTTAACAAAACGTGTAATGTTTCGTGTTTTTTATGAGAAACAGAGTGACCATATATCTGGTACCGTATGATCGAAAAAAAATGGTAGTACTTTATGTCACTTAAACACCAAAATAATGAGTTTTTTGCACTACAATAACAAATAATACCAAAAATCAACCGACAAAATATGAATACAGAATCTAACCCAATATCTAAGTATGTACAGCTGATGAAGTAAACAAAAGTCCGCCCGGAGGCTGATCTTTTATAGAGGGCATTGGTTTAAAATTTAATAATCTGACAACTGACACCACCACAAAACACACTGACACTGACAGACAACCATAGATCAATTTCTTGTTTCCTGTTATACATTATACCATAGAGTAGTGATAGACAAAGGACATTCCTTATTCTATATTCTATGGGTATGTACTACGTACGTGACTTTTCAAAATCAGCTATTCGTCTACCTTCGCCAAAATTGGCCAAAATTTATTTTTCTAAATTAATTACGAAATTACAAACCTCTGCAAGTTTAATATAAAATGAAAACGGTTCAAGGTTTAAGTTCAAACTCACTGGATGGTGAATCATGAATTAAACAACGATTACCTTTAAACTAAAACAATGTGAGCTAGTAAAAGTTTCGCTAAAATCAAAACTTCTCAAGTATGTATTGATTTTTACTACCCACACTATATATTTCAAAGATCCTGTTATATTTTAGGAATACAGACTGAATTTTACCCATTCAAGATTTAGTAGGAATGTAAATTAATTTGAACTAAAATGGAGGAAGCAAAATTTGGAGCATCAATTGATAATATCTACCCTGCTCTTTTACAATGTTTTGCAGTTATATTATGCGGGTAAGATCATATCCTTCATATTTACCTTATTTGTACCATCAAATTATCACAGGTATTTAGCTGGCCGAATGAATCTCGTCTCAGAAACAGAAGCCAAAGGAATGAACACTTTCGTAGGGACCTTTTCTCTACCTTCCTTGATATTTATGTCGCTGGCTGAGTTAGATTTAAGTTCAGTAAACTGGATGTTCCTTTTATCTATATTAATATCAAAAAGTATAATTTTTTTCTCTGTGATAATTGTAACAGTACTAGTAGGGAGACCATTGAATCTGGGAAGAGCTGGAATATTTGCCATATTTTGCACACAAAGTAACGACTTTGCCATAGGATACCCTATAGGTTAGTACAATTTTAACCCCCGAAACACGCCTATGAGTTAATTTTTTTACACTATTTCAATGACACCCTGTATAAAAACAAACCCATCCAGAATATGCTTCATACCTCTATTTGATGGCGCCTATAAGTTTGGCCATTTTAAACCCAGTATCTTTTGTATTAATGGAAATCAGTAAAAAACAAAGTGTACCAGGGGACGAAGAAGAAGCTCTGCTTGTTGAGGGGAATCCCAGCATAAACAATGGAGTTTTCTTACACAAAAAGCGGTTCAAGATGGTGATTGTCATAGTGAAAAATATATTTTTATAATCCATTTCCATGATCTACGCGGGCATGTGGTGAAATATCAGTAAGCATGTTGTACCACTGTATCTAGCTGGAGTCCTTAATGTAAGTTTTGTTAATTTATTATTTTAGCTATTAAGTTCTTTGATATAATATAATTCTAGGATGAGTCAATTACAGTTGCAGTATTTTTCTGTGATTTTCTTCATTGAACACCTGGTAGTTTTTGTATCGACAAATCAACAGGAATTATTTGATGTTCTATGGATAACATAAACTATCAAACCATTCATATTTTTTTTTCACATATCTTTCAAAGAACACCCTGTATTTATCATAAAATGATCAGAGACATTTTACTAAGTATTTGCTATAACCTAAAGTCGATATTCTATAGAATATTAATTTTGAATTCTTTCTATTCTTTTAATATCAAAAAGTAGATTTTTTTGTTTTGCACTGAGATTCTGTATTCAGATACACAAAACAATATCTTTGATACAATTTTTTGTTATTCTAAGTATATTTAGATGATAATTGTCAAAAAATGTACTGGAATAGTTGTTACAAAAATATAGGAAGATACATCCCTTAGTTTCTATGATAATCATATATCAGAAATTTATTTAATAATTAAATTCTATTATTATTTTGTTTGGAAATTTTTTTTTTTTTTTTTTTTTTTCTTCAAAATTATTTTTTTTTCAACTTATGAATAGCATTATAAAAAATACTACTTTTATTAAACAAAAAATAATTTCTTTTTTCAAAAAATACAATAAATTTGAATTTTAAGATCTTAAAAATATTTCAGGTGTTAGGCTCTGCGTTCTCAGCTAGCGCCCTCTTTCTTCTAGGACTCAGAATGGTCGGAAAAATCCATAAATTGACTGGAGCTACTGTCTAAGCTCTGGTTCAGCCGGTAATATTGATCATGGTTTAAAATTTGTAAGTCTCTTAACAACGGTTCTACATATACAGGGACGTTCAAAACAAACTTGGTTTGCCTAGAATTCAATCTTTTATTTTAAATTTTTTTTTTTTTTTTTTTTTTTTTTTATTTTTTTAGATATTTTCTTAACATTTCTTATTTATTCTTTTTCTAAAAAACCTTATTTTAATACTTGAGGAATTTCGCCTTGCCTTTGATTACCAGAGAAGTTATTAGTGTTTTACATGCGGGATATAACAGTTCAGAAATTTTAGATTTAAGTACTTACGGGTTCTTTTATGGTACTTTTCCTTCAGCCCCTGGCGTGTTTGTTTTCGCCACCCAGTATATGGTGGACGTCGATTTGGTAAGTTAGTTACATTTAATTGTTCGTTATTTCTTTCAGGCTATATAATATGATTAAATTAATTTTTTTTTGCATATTTTTTTTTTTTATTTATTTGTTGTTTTTCAAATAGTGTTTCACCCCTATAACTTTATTTATTTTTTCAGATAAAACAACGAGATGTGGTATGTTAATAGATTATGAATTAACATTGGGATTGATTAACGTATTCATTTGTTTTCGGTCACTTCCGGCTTCACCGGAAATGACTTACAACTTTTATTTTTAAATGGCACCCTCGGTATTTTTTACTTTATTCGATAGGAAAATGACACTTTGAATCAGAATGACATATCATCATCGTTCAATTTTTGACATAGATCCTCAAAAACAAATTCCCATTTTAAATTTCAATCTACAGTGCCATGGCTGTGTTAAAAACACTAATTTTTGTCAAGTGGCCTTGGATAAAATAGATTGATGGTCTAATGTTTTTATATGTGTCTTATCCTGGCTGGTTAAAAGATGCCCAAGCGTATTTTAAATTCATATTCTCAGATTTTTTCAAATGGAATTTTTTTTAAAATATTTTTTACTAGTGATGGGCAAAAACTGTTATTTTATATACAGGATGAATCAAAAACTGAAAATTTAGAAAAAAAAATTATTTATGAAAAAAACAGCTTAAAATAACAGTTTTTTTTTTTCCTAAATAAATTACAGGTTTCTTTATATTACTGCTAAATATCTGAGATGTATTGAGACGGTCACCGCCAGGCGTAATAACGCAATTGCAACAATGACGTGCTCGGTGGTAGTATTTCCAGGGTGGTCAAAACTACATTTCAAAATATCGATTGTTATCTAAATACCTCTCTAAAAACGTTGGTTGTTTTACAAATTAAGCGCTGTTTACAACATTGCAATATAAAAAAGCCATAATTTTGCCACTCGTCTATACCTAAACATTCCGATCTACCTACACCCTGCCCCTCGATCCGCGTAGATCCTGAATTGCATGCAGTGTACAGGGTACATCTCGCTCAACGGGCGAGAAGCTCTTAGTATGAATTTTTACCATTTGCGGTCAAAAATAAGCAATATTTAGAGAAATGTGAGTATATTCTATCATAAAGATAAGCCAACTACTCACACTAGATTCGAATTTAATTAGTTTACATTTATATACCACTTAACACTAGCGTGATTACCCTCGCGACTTTTGTTTCGCGTCGAATTTAATAATTTTCTTAAGGGTGATGATGATAAAGCAAAACAAGAATTCTCCCAATTAACATACAAACTGATAAAAATTTTTCTCACATTGCCAAAAATAACGCTTTCTAACGCCGAGCAGTTTTAAGCAGAATCGTGGTTAATCAATACTCAATTTGTTTGGAAACACCCTGTATGATTTTTTTAAAAAATTTCATAAATATGTAAAAAAACAACAAAATAATTATGCGTGTTCACAGGCGTTTTCCCAAGACTAACCGTTTCATAAATAACAAATCATTGTATATTTTGAGGGGCGTTTTCACCTGTTTGGGTTTGAGATTCAGGAACCCCTCCTTATCGACCTCTACACCCCCAGTCAATCCAGTTTGCAAAAAATCAGCTTTAAACGTCAGCAGTTTAAACAGAATAATTGTGATTACTCAAAGGTCATATTTCTATGAAACCCTGTAATATATTTTTTTAAAAATCTTAAAATATGTAAAAACAATTAATAAATATACGTGTTTTAAGAGTTTTCCGAAAACTTCACCAGTTTTTTAAATAAAAAACTATTTAATATTTGAGGGATAGTTTCACCCCCTTAAGAAGTTCGAGTTTCGAAAGAGAAAAATCCTTCTTATCGAACCCTCTACACAACTAAAGGTCAATCACGTTTTTCATAAAAATAGGCTTTTTACCGAGTCAGGCTTTAGAGCAGGATCGTGATGATAATCACCATGACCAGATGTTTTCCAAAACACCCCTGTATACATTTTTAAAAATCCTTAACAATATTATTCTACTAGAAAAATAAAAAAAAAATAAATAAATACCTAAAATATGCAAACTTCAATAAGTAAGTACCTGACATACAGCCAGCCATTAATATTTCTGGACCTCACGTCCGTTATGCTGCGTAACAGTTGAACAGAATTGTATCTAAAGACAACTGATGCGTTATTCTCAAACCTGTTTCGAACCTCCACCGACAATCGACCAGATGCAGCAGCATTCCTATTCCCACTACGATTATCTCGACCGCCGCCCTGTTATGCTGGTAACAGGTTGAAAAACAAAATATCTAAGATGGACTGTTTCTCCACCCGTATGCGAGCCTCCATCGACAATCGAACGATGCAGCAGCGTTCCTTTCCCACTCCTGTTATCTCCACCGCCAGGCGTTATGCACGCAACTGTTTCAAAACCTGCTCTTCTTTTATTCCTCATTATTTTTAAGCTGGTTGTAAATACGACTATCGACGGTATCGACCGAAGGAGCTACGTTCGCCGTAGCGGATTCCCCACTCCGTTGTCAGTTGTATATCGCCGCCTGTATCGATGGTTGACGAAATAACATTGTTTTACCATCCATACTGTTGATTTTTTGGCAACTTGCTTTCGAGCAGCCATAGAATATTCGTGGGTGATGCAGAGCGCCGACTTCGTTTTTCGTTTCACGAGGCGGACGATCGTCTACGTGTTCGGTTATTGTCTATCTTGTTTCATTTTTTTAGAAGTGGTAACGGTTGCGTTATGTTATTTTTCATAAATAATTAGTTATAAAATAAACAGAGGTAGTTAAATAACAAAGCCCGATCATCGAGTTTCAGTTAGCATCGCAATGATAGTAAAAATACTCGTTAGCTATCTTGTCAGAAATCAAAAGTTTATGTAGTCATTTCCGGTGAACAACCGGAAGTGACCGTCAAAACAATGATACCGTCGCAAATAATTCCCAATTTATGTCATATAGTAACATACCCAATCTGTTGTTTTTCTGAAAAAATAAAAAAAGTTATAGGGGGGTGAGCCATTTTGAGACGCACCCGGTATCGCTGACCGAAGTTTCCGAATTACAGTTCGGACAACCCTGTAATATCATATACACTAATAAATAAATCTAATATCCTGAGTAATATGGGTCAGAAGTTATATAATCATGACTTAAAGATAAAAATCATGACTGAGCATCTCATTTCAATAATAGCCTGGGACATGCGTTCAGACATGTCTAATGTTATTGTCGGTTGTTATTGTTTCTAGGTTCATAAAACGAGTGCGACTCACGAGCGATACGATAGGTTGTCTCTGTTCCGTACGGTTCGTTCCCTTGACCGCACTTCCTGCGAGAAACACAACACTGTCTTTCGTTTCTCAAGTACACCTGAACCCTCCGTATCATAGTCCGGGTAAATTTTTTTTATTTTAATGAAAGAAAAAAAAAAAAAAAAAAAAAAAAAATCGTTATTTAACTTTTTTTATTTTATTAAAAGAAAAAAAAAAAAAAAAATTTTTTTAATAAAAAGCTTTAAGAAAAACAATTAGAGTCCAACAAGGATAAACTAATAATAAAATACACGTTTAGAAGAAATTTTATAATCGAAATTTAGGGTAATTTTTTAATTAATTAATTAAATATATTAATTTTAGTCAAACATTTAC